ATCATATAGATTTTTCGCAAAGTAATTTGAGTAATATAAGTACCTAACATATCTAACATTCCGATTACCTTCAAGTAACAACGCTGTTCACGTAACAAGGTCAAATCTTCTTATCTATAACTGATCATAATTTAAAGCTCCCTTGAAATGGCGATATAAAGCGACGCTGCCGCAAAAGTGCTGTATCTCCGAAAATCACTTTTTGATATGTGTTCTTTTTTGTAATGAGAGCGGCTCCAAAATTTAGTGAAGAGTTTTTTGGCATTTTCGTTTATAATTGACTAGACAACTATCAAAACTCTTGCGCAAAAACTAGACAACATTATGACCTTAGTCTTATGCCGTTTTCACCATCAATCCCTAATTTTTAAGTGACCCATAATTATGGTAACATATAACAGGAGTTTTGTATTCAAAGAGGTCACTTAAAAACGGGCATTAGTTTTTGACGGAACTTTTAAAAGGTCATTCACAAGTTTCATTGACTCTTGATTTTAGCCCCCATTTCAATCTCCAATGTCCAGCATTAGGTTAAATAACCACATCGTCTGCCCAGATCAGTGGCGGCGTAGCATGGGTTGGCACCCGGGGCGGGCACCCCCTGGTACCCCCCAGGATTTAGGAGTTACCTACCGATTCATATCGTATCGTATCAAGCAAGACATAGACCGCAGATTTGCCATACAGATGTACCAGTGAGTACTAATCTGCGCGACTTGTGTCACCCCCTGATGCTTGGCACCCGGGGCGGACCGCCCCCACCGCCCCCCCCTTACGCCGCTACTGGCCCAGATATAACCATGACTATAAGTTTGCTCATCCATATTTTCCGCTCGCATTTAACCATGGAATAATAAATGTTACCTTCTAGTGTTTTCTTCGGGCACCATATCCAGTTCTTCTCTGAAATACTTCTCGTGATTGGGGTACAGTCTCATAGCCAATCTTGGCAGCCTCTTGGGATGTGGGGCCCGGCCCCAGTTGGCCACGTCGGGCCCCAAACCTTGGACCGTCCCGCAAGCCGCTTCGAACGCGCGCGCCTCGCCGGTTGCCGTGGGAGAGAGCACGCACAACGCGAATAGAGAGAGGAGACGATGCCTAAAAGGAAGAAATAAAATAATTTATAATATTGTCGGTACTTACTTATCACCACCTGCTACCATTCTGTCCAGCAGCATATGACGAAATTTTTACACGCTAATTGTCAAATTTCGTAATATATAGGATGGACCCTAAAGTTTGGGTAGAAAGTAGCGACCAAGGACCGAAAAACATAATATGGGTGAGGCCTGACTCGGTCGACCTGCGATCTATGGGCGTACCTACTTTGGCTGAAATGGATTAAGGTACCTTACCCGAGCACAATGGTATGGGCTTCTTCAAAGTGAGAGTGAATAGACATTTACTAGGTATGTAAGTATCACCCTGGAACAGTCCAGTAGATTCAGATCTATTTGTATTTTACTTTATTCGGAAAACAAACAGTGTTGATTGACTTATTAACTATCTGAGTATAAAGCTGTACACCAATTATATGTTTTCGCTTACAATAACTGAGATAATGTTTACTAATATACTTAAATTATTATTATCTACACTTAACATTCACTGAGCGCGGGGTCTTGGCGGGCGAGGCCTTTTAAACACGAAAAAAAGTTTTAATAAAAATAAATAACACTTACGACTGAGTGACTGAGACTGACTGATGCTACTAATCTACTACTAAAGAGGACTCACGCCTGAGTAGGGCTGCCATTGGACGCCTGCAGCGACACAAGTTGCAGTAACCGAGGCGCAGATCCATACTGCAACTATACTACTAAAGAGGACTCACGACTGAGTAGGGCTGCCTTTGGACGCCTGCAGCGACACAAGTTGCAGCAGCGAGCGGCGCGGCGGCCTCGAAGCTTAGCTCTCGCACGAGCCGGCACGCGGCGCAGATCCATACTGCAACTATACTACTAAACTACTACTAAAGAGGACTCACGACTGAGTAGGGCTGCCTTTGGACGCCTGCAGCGACATCGCTCGCGCTTCGCCCTCGGTGGCCTCGAAGCTTCGCTCTCGCACGAGCCAGCAGGCGGCGCAGATCCATACTGCAACTATGCTACTAATCTACTACTAAAGAGGACTCACGACTGAGTAGAGCTGCCTTTAGACGCCTGCAGCGACACAAGTTGCAGTAACCGAGGCGCAGATCCATACTGCAACTATACTACTAAAGAGGATTCACGACTGAGTAGGGCTGCCTTTGGACGCCTGCAGCGACACAAGTTGCAGTAACGAGCGGCGCAGCGCGTCAGCAGCGCGTGCGCCGCGGCTCGCGCTTCGCCCTCGAAGCTTCGCTCTCGCACGAGCCAGCAGACGATGCAGATCCATACTGCTGCTATACTACTAAACTGCTACTAAAGAAGACTCACGCCTGAGTAGGGCTGCCTTTAGAGGCTTGCAGGGACACAAGTTGCAGTAACGAGCGGCGCGGCGGCCTGCAGCGATACAAGTTGCAGCAGCGAGCGGCGCGGCGGCCTCGAAGCTTAGCTCTCGCACGAGCCGGCACGCGGCGCAGATCCATACTGCAACTATACTACTAATCTACTACTAAAGAGGACTCACGACTGAGTAGGGCTGCCTTTGGAGGCCTGCAGCGACACCGCTCGCGCTTCGCCCTCGGCGGCCTCGAAGCTTAGCTCACGCACGAGCCGGCACGTGGCGCAGATCCATACTGCAACTATACTACTAAAGAGGACTCACGACTGAGTAGAGCTGCCTTTAAACGCCTGTAGCGACACAAGTTGCAGCAGCGAGCGGCGCGGCGGCTCGGCGCAGCGCGTCAGCAGCGCGTGCGCCGCGGCTCGCGCTTCGCCCTCGGCGGCCTCGAAGCTCAGCTCTCGTACGAGCCGGCACGTGGCGCAGATCCATACGGCTACGATGACTTCGTGTTCGATGCTGAAACATTTTGATTTGTTAATCGATAAGCAGAAATTAGTGGCAGTAGCACATAGGAAGACTGCTTGAATGTGATTGGCGGATAAGTTCTGGACGGACGCATGGGCGTCTCTTAATGCCAGTGTTAGGCCCAGTTTGTTGATTAAAGTTAAAATAACAAATTGTAAATTTTGCTACTAATGGTTAAATATTAACAAAATGTAAACAAATAGTTAAAAAAGGTACTAAAATTCAAGCTAACCATTGTTCGAAAAACATTTTTTTCTGATATTTAACCACTTGTTAATTGACATCTGTCTCATTTAACTAAGGCCCGGTTTTTTGATTCGTAGTTAAAATAACCAATGGTTAAATTTGACAGCTGTCAAATGACAAGTGGTTAAATATTAGAAAAAAATGTTTTTCGAACAATGGTTAGCTCGACTTTTAATACATTTTTTTAACTATTACTTAACATTTTGTTAATATTTAACCATTAGTAGCAAAATTTAACAATTTGTTATTTTAACTATGAATCAAAAAACTGGGCCTAAATTGGTTATTTTAACTACGAATCAAAAAACTGGGCCTAAGTAAGCTCATCATAACGAATATTGACTAAGCCCTTGGCTTGTTGCAAAATAAAACTATTGGAGTTTTAACGGATGTTTCTTGTTTCCACCACTGCAAATCTAAAATCTATAAGTTGACCTACAGTGAAACAAACCCTGAAGAGCGGTGACGCGTCGTGCTATATCCGTACGCCACAATAAGGCTATGAACGACCAGTTAGGGCGTATTTCTAACACGAGTCATAATGCTGTAGTATACTATATTACTTACAAGTCTACTTCAGCAGCAAGTAGCGCCAATAGCGCGGCGCGTATAGCGCTGGGGGCGTGGTCGTGCGCCGCGAGCGTGACGTACTCAATAAGGCTATGGACGACCAGCTAAGACGTATTTCTAACACGAGTAATTATGTTACTTACAAGTCTACTTCAGCAGCAAGTAGCGCCAATAGCGCGGCGCGTATAGCGCTGGGGGCGTGGTCGTGCGCCGCGAGCGTGACGTAGGCGGCGTGCAGACGTACACGGAAGCACAGCGGCGACCCGTCGCGCTAGTATCCGCACGCCACAATAAGGCCTCAGCCTCGAACTTAGCGGGCAGCGGGGCGTCGGCGGCGGCGGCGCGGGAGCGGGGCGGGTAACGCAGACCCGTTCTTGAAACAAGCGGGCAGCTCGCGCGGCGCTTTAGCGGCGAAGTGTTGTGTTCGGGGTTGTGTTGTCGAGATATTTGTTTTTATTCGCAAACGAAATGTCTGAACAACGGCGACAATTTTATTTCGATTCAAATTTATTCCTAACGCTCGATTTATAGTGGGCAAAAGAAGGAGTGCGCTCCCCGCTCGATGCCCGCTCCCTCGCCGCTGCCCGCTCGTTGCCCGCTGCCGCGCCGCTGTTTTCGAGAACCGGTCCATTTGATTTTACGCATAAGATCCTGCCGCTCCCGCGCCGCCGCCGCCGCCGCCCCGCTGCCCGCTAAGTTCGAGGCTGAGGCCTAANTATTCAAAGCTTAAACGCGTCTAGAAACTTTGGATCAGGAATGGTTTGATCACAAAAAAGGAAAGCACAATAGAGAATCGGACAACTGATAAATAAATAAATAAATAAATAAATATCCTTGGACATTTTACACTGCGCTTCTAGTCCCAAACTAAGCAAAGCTTGTACTATGGGTACTAGACAACGGATATAAACATACTTAAATACTTTTTTTTTTGTAAATACATACTTAATATACATAGAAAACAAACACCCAGTCCAATACAAACAAATATGTTCATGCACACAAATGTTTGTACTGTGCGGGAATCGAACCCGCTACCTCCGGAATAGTAGTCCGTTTCGAACCACTACACCAAACGGCCGATAAGGATAGAATGAGCTGACAAAACGCTGATTTCCCTTAGATTTTGAAGGAATTTGTCCACCATTTAATTTGACATACTCAAGTCAGAAAATGAAGAAATTTAAAATCATTGCCACCGCATTGTAACTCAAGATACCGCCATCTAAGTTTCCAAACAGAGATCCTTATTCCACAACAACTACAAACTCACCAGGACTGCTAAAGTATGCGCGCACGCAGGCGTCAGCGAGCAACGCATACGGTTCGTAGGCGGTCAGCGTGTGCACGCAGTATACAGCTGCTTGAGACAGCAGCGGCGGCGCGGTCTCATAAAGACACCGCCATCTAGTTTCCAAACAGAGAACCTTATTCTACATCCAAACTCACCAGGGCTGCTAAAGTATGCACGCACGCAAGCATCAGCGAGCGCCGCGTAGGGCTCGTAGGCGGTCAGCGTGTGCACACAGTATACAGCTGCGCGAGACAGCAAGGGAGGCGCAGTCTCATTCATTAAAGACACCGCCATCTAGTTTCCAAACAGTGAACCTTATTCTATAACCAAACTCACCAGGACTGCTCAAGTATGCACGCACGCAGGCATCAGCGAGCGCCGCGTAGGGCTCGTAGGCAGTCAGCGTGTGCACACAGGACACAGCTGCGCGAGACAGCAGCGGCGGCGCGGTCTCATTCATAAAAGACACCGCCATCTAGTTTCCAAACAGTGAACCTTATTCTACATCCAAACTCACCAGGACTGCTAAAGTATGCACGCACGCAGGCGTCAGCGAGCGACGCATACGGTTCGTAGGCGGTCAGCGTGTGCACACAGTATACAGCTGCGCGAGATAAAAGAGGCGGCGCGGTCTGCACCCACTGCTCCCACACCTAGATACAAATAGAAAAAGGTTTATTCAGTACTAACGGCCGCTCGCGACTTCGTACGCGTGGACCCCGTTTAACCCCCTTAGGGATGAAGTTTCGAGTTCTTTTTAGGGTTTTCTTGCCGTAAAAACTATCCTTTGATATTAAAAAAAAGAATTGGTAAAATTGGTCGAGGCGTTGTTAAGTTATGCGCTTACCAACACATTTTGAGATTCATTTTTATATTATAGACTAGCTGACCCGGCGAACTTCGTACCGCCTTAGCGTAGAGATTTTCTTAATATTTTTTTCCGTAAGAACCATCCTTGGACTTCCACAAACATTTAAAAAAAAGAATTATCGAAATCGGTTCAGCCGTTCACACGTGATGCCGTGACAACGCGAAACGGGTTTCATTTTTATATATATAGATCATCCAATTTACAAAATGGGTAACAAAATTTTACAAGTTTTTCATTCTACTTCTACACTCAGCATGGTGTCAATGTTACTTTACTTATCACAAAAGGATGCTTAAAGACACTATTCCGAGGCGGCTGCTACGTAATACATAGTACTTTTCTATATTATTATTTGAATACATTTTCGAATACCACCACCTTGCGGCGCCATCAACCGTGCATCCACTGCACGTGCTATCAGCAGCTATTTCCTGAAGCCGGCTTCAGAATAAGTATCACCCCAATACTATTAAATAATGTTTATTTCAGTAACTCAGCATAACGATTTTTTCTTATTCTTTAGCAGAAAAGTCTAAAGCATAAAAACCATAGAGATATAGAGAAATGTCAACTAATGCACTGAGTTCGAAACTCAGTGTCGCATTAGAAATTCACACACACAAAGTAATCAAAATATGTGCTCATTATCCACTGCGGTATCAACGTTCGAATAAAATCTTGTACGGGTTACCGCACATATGTTAATGTCAACGACATACCTAATCTAGGTCACTTAGAAATAGCAATTATGCACACTTTTATACGTCACGTACGTTCGTACTTCTGCTATTCTATCATTTTATAAATAATTGTGTTATGTGAAATAAATCAGTGTTATTACGACTATCATTGGGTTTGGTTTCGTACACTAACTATCCCATACAAATCGTCGGCACTCATCCTGTAACTGTAAGACGCTACAGTTTCTTTGGTCCTTCGAT